TGACTTCAACATAGCTATTTCTGTGACCAGTTACAAGCTAATCCCTCAGCTATTTCAATGCTAAATTCTCCTGTTTGATTTATACTAGGTGCCTCTGTGGATGTGTAGGCTTTGACTTCAACATAGCTATTTCTGTGACCAGTCACAAGCTAATCCCTCAGTTATTTCAATGCTAAATTCTCCTGTTTGATTTGTACTAGGTGCCTCTGTGGATGTGTAGGCTTTGACTTCAACATAGCTATTTTCTGTGACCAGTCACAAGCTAATCCCTCAGTTATTTCAATGCTAAATTCTCCTGTTTGATTTGTACTAGGCGCCTCTGTGGATATGTAGGCTTTGACTTTAACATAGCTATTTCTGTGACCAGTCACAAGCTAATCCCTCAGCTATTTCAATGCTACATTCTCCTGTTTGATTTATACTAGGCGCCTCTGTGGATGTGTAGGCTTTGACTTCAACATAGCTATTTCTGTGACCAGTCACAAGCTAATCCCTCAGTTATTTCAATGCTAAATTCTCCTGTTTGATTTGTACTAGGCGCCTCTGTGGATGTGTAGGCTTTGACTTTAACATAGCTATTTCTGTTACCAGTCACAAGCTAATCACTCAGCTATTTCAATGCTAAATTCTCCTGTTTGATTTATGCTAGGTGCCTCTGTGGATGTGTAGGCTTTGACTTCAACATAGTTATTTCTGTGACCAGTCACAAGCTAATCCCTCAGCTATTTCAATGCTTAATTCTCCTGTTTGATTTGTAAACTCCTTTGTCAAGGTGCCTCACTTCTCTCACCCAGCTTAACAGACGCCGCGAATCTTAGCAGCGTTCATTGAAGCTCTGCCGTCCCGACAGTTCTGTTCCTTCGCCTGAAGGCTACTTGTGTTGTGGCCGAAACGTCATTTTTGTTGTTTTATTTCTTTACCTACTACGTGACTTTACCGAATAGAACCATAGAGTATGGATCCTTGCAGTCACGAAAAGCTTCAAATCTAATAGTTGAAGGTGAGATAGGCATGAGCTGTCAAACCACGCGGTTTAACGCGTCTTCCTGCACAGGGGACATTTAAGTTCAGATCCGCACGGCGTACAGACCGTTTAAAATACCGGCAAACAAATAGTCGTCTTATGTGTTTGCGTTTCTCTCCCTTGTGATGGGACTTTGCAGGACGAACGTTGAGGTTCATAAGGGGGGCAACGCGGAGGTGACCGATATGATAAAGTATTAAAGCTTTCGTGACTGCGTAAAATTACTCATCGGTGTTTGTTTCGGTAAAGGCACGCGTGTAGAAATACAATAAAAATTATATTAAAACGAGAAACAATCACGACGTTTCGATCACAACGCAAAGCGATCTTCACATCAGGTGTCAAGAACAAATCGCGGAGGTTGAATTTTACCTCCGCGATTTGTTCTCGACGCCCGATCGCTTGCGTCGCGATCGAAACGTCGCGATTGGTTCCTTTTTTTGCTTCAATATAATTTTATTGGATTTCTACACACGTGACTTTACCGAAAGAAAAAAAACACAACAACGAGTGACCGATATATGGTCCGAGTTGGTCTGTAATAAGGCAGGGCACTGATCGGGGATTGAGCGGTATTGATCAGGAGAGGTGTGGAGAGGGGCGTGGAGCAGAAGGGATGGGGAGGGGGGAGTGGGGAGAGAAGACGGGAAAAAGCAGGCGAGCGGAGAGGCCGCGGCGAGCGGAGAGGCCGCGAAGGGAAGAGGGGAACGAGGTGGAGAGAAGAGGGGCACAGGAGGGGAGGAGGGAACGAGGTGGAGAGAGGGAGGAGAGGACCATGAGGGAGAGGGGGCGGGAGGAGAGGACCATGAGGGAGAGGGGGGGAGGAGAGGACCATGAGAGAGGGGGGAGGAGAGGGACCTTGAGAGGGGGGGGGGGGAGAGGACCATGAGAGGGGGGGAGAGGACCATGAGAGAAGGGAACGAGGTGGAGAGAAGAGGGGAGGGAGAGGAGGCACAGGAGAGGAGAGAGAGGAGGGGGGGGTGACCCACACACGCCATGCCGCAGCACCTCCAACTCAGGGCCGACTTAGAAAACATTTTAATTTTTTCATTTTTTTTCTATTTTTTTTTTCCATTTTTAAACACGCTTTTGTACAGAAAGTTGGCCAGTCGAGGTCAAAATCGGTAGCTTTTTTTTTTGCTCGAATCCCAAAAGCATGCACACACGCCAACCCCACCCCCCCTCCCCCCCCCCCCGCTCCACGCCTTAGCTTTATTGTATGGTCGCTTAAGTTAATTCCTCCTCGACTAACAATAATCAATAACTCTGCGCTCGCCACTGCTGGGGGTGGTCTCCTTACGAATTTAAACTTAAAAAAAGCAAAGCCGTCGTCAGGGCAACGACCCGCGGCGGCGGCGGGGGGGGGGGGGAGCCGTCGTCACGGCGACGACCCGCGGCGGGAGGGCCGTTGTCAGGGCGACGACCCGCGGCGGCGGGGGCGGCGGGGGCCGGGGGGGGGGCCGTCGCCATGACGACCTGGCGGGGGCGGGGACCGGTTCAGATAAATCGCCGCCGCGTCCGGCCGGCCGGTCGGTGAGACCGCAGCGAGAGCGGGAATCAAACAAAATTGGGCCGTGGCCGGGCACTCGTAGCGCACTCTCGCTGCCCGCACACAGTCACACCAGCGGCAGGGCGCGGTGGCGGTGGCGGTGGTGGTGGTGGTGGTGGCGGTGAAATCAAATCTTCGGCGAGACACCGGCGGCGTCCAGGCGGTAGCAGCGGCAGTCTGGGACCGGCGAGGAGGGGGGGGGGAGGCGTCGTCGTCACTGTTCACCGTCGTCACGTTCACTTGAACGTCTTCACGTTCACTTGAACGTCGTCACGTTCACCGTCACCACGTTCACTTCTCCGTCACGTTCACTTGAACGTCGTCACGTTCACCGTCGTCACGTTCACTTGAACATCGTCACGTTCACTTGAACGTCGTCACATTCACCGTCAGGTTCACCGTCAGGTTCCCCGTCAGGTTCACCGTCAGGTTCACCGTCAGGTTCACCGTCAGGTTCACCGTCAGGTTCACCGTCACGTTCAGTCACCGTCAGGTTCACCGTCACGTTCAGTCACCGTCAGGTTCACCGTCAGGTTCACCGTCACCGTCGTCAGGTTCGTAGTCAGGTTCACCGTCAGGTTCACCGTCAGGTTCACCGTCACCGTCGTCACGTTCAACCGTGGGCCATGGGCGTCCATTTTGAATACTTTTCAAAATGGCCACCGCATCCCCAGCGGAGTCAACTCGCTAAACTCTCGCGTCTATCCGTTGCTTTCCGTTGCTTGTTTAAACGGTTGTGTGTGTCGGTTCTACCTTTTTTTTTCTTAATTATGTTTTTTGCTTATTTTTTAAACTTTCCATTTCCAAGTTTTCTTTTTTTGTCGATTTTCATTTTTTTTTTTGGCCCGTTACCCCCAAACACCCCTTGCCCCCCCATCCCCCATCCCTCCCAAGCCCTTCCCCCCCCCCCCCCACCACCATCAACCTTTACCAAAATGCCCGAGCGAGTCTCTTTCCTTTGGAAGCCAAACACGGTTTACACACACACACACAGAGAGAGAAATGGGCCCTGCGGTAGATGTCAAGCAAGACCGGGTTACGTGCGAGCGCGTGCCATCGGACCAAATCTAAACCACGGTTCCAGCCTCCTCCCCCTCCCCTATATATTTTTGTTTTATCGTCGACAAATCCAAACCCGCGTCAAGAAACCGCATGAGGCGGAGCCCCACGAAGACCCGTTCCGGCATGCGGCGCGAACCTCGCGGTTTCACCAACACGTGGTGGTGTTGTGGTGTGGTGGTGTGGTGGTGGTGGTGTGGTGGTGTGGTTAATTTCTTCACCCCCCCCCCCAAACCCACCATCTACATTTTACCGCGGTCGACCGAATCGGGGGAGGGGGGTGGGGGGAGCGAGGAAGTGAATCGACGATTCAAAAACAACAACAACAAAACCGCAGAGAAATGTTTTGGGTATTTTTTAAATATTACGTCAAAAAAAGGAGAGGGTTGGTGGTGGTGGTGGTTGGTGGTGGTGGAGGTGGTGTGGGTGGTGGAGGTGGTGGTGGGGGTGGTGGTGGAGGTGGTGGTTGGTGGTGGTGGAGGTGGTGGTGGTGGAGGTGGTTGGTGGGGGTGGAAAAAAAACCGTGGTTGGAGACGGGCCGCTTCCTTCTCGCGGAGAGAAATGGCGCAGGACCACCACCCCCCTCCCACCCTCCACCCACCCCTTGTGTGTGTGTGGGGGGGGGGGTGGGGGGTTGTGGTGGTGGGGGGAGGTGAGGGGAGGGGCCGCCGACGATTTTACCCCGGCGGCAAAGCGTTAAAAAAAAACCCACCACAAACGGCGGAGGAAACGTGGAGGAGATGGAAAAACAAAAACACAGAATCGCGGGAAAAAATTAACGGGTGGTGGTGGTGGTGGGCGTGTGTACGTGTGTGTGTACGTGTGTGTGTACGCGTGTGTGTGTACGCGTGTGTGTACAGTGTGTGTGTACGCGTGTGTACGTGTGTGTGTACGCGTGTGTGTACGCGTGTGTGTGTACGCGTGTGTGTGTACGCGTGTGGCGTTAATTTTGTGTCGTTTTTTTTTTCGTTTGTTAATCAAATTTCTTTCTTTTAGACCCCTTTTTTTGTTACAACGTTATTATACCGTTGGAAACAATCTCGCTCACTCGCCCGCGCCGATGGGTGGTGGTCGTTGTTGCAGCAGGTGGGTGGGTGACGGTGGGCGGTTGTGGCGGTTGTCCCTGCCGGCTCTACAATTGCGGGCTTGGTGGTGGTGGTGGTGGGGGGGGTGGGTGGGTGGGTGGGGAGACGGTGGTGGTGGTGGGAGTGTGGGGGGGGGGTGGGAGTGTGGTGGTGGTGGGGGGGAGCGGTGTGGAGCCAGTATGTGGGGGGAGTCGTACATTAAACGACCACCCCCCACAACACCTCCCTCCCTCCCTGCCCCCCCCCGCCCCCCAATTCTTCTTCTCCCTCCCCTCCCCCCTCTCGCTCTCCTCATCCCTAGATGAGGTCGGCCACGTTCATGGGCATCTCCTCCACCTGCGTGTTGTAGAACGTCTCGATGTCGCGGAGGATTCGCTTGTCCTCCTCCGTCACAAAGTTTATGGCGACGCCCTTGCGGCCGAAACGACCCCCTCGTCCAATCCTACGCGGGCGGAGCAGGAGGGGGGCGGAGCAGGAGGAGGGGGCGGAGCAGGAGGGGGGCGGAGCAGGAGGAGGGGGCGGAGCAGGAGGGGGCGGAGCAGGAGGGGGGCGGAGCAGGAGGGGGCGGAGCAGGAGGAGGGCGGAGCAGGAGGAGGGGGCGGAGCAGGAGGGGGTGGAGCAGGAGGGGGTGGAGGAGGAGGGGGTGGGAGTGGAGGAGGGGGTGGGGGGGACACGCACGCGTTGGTAACCGTGGCAGTGGACAGTGAAGGTGGAGAGTGACGTCATCCGGCGCAAACTCCGGTGACCGCCCCTCGCAACACCGGCGGCGGCTTTTGGCTAACCGTCGTACAAAGGCGGTGGCCACATAGAGACCCGTAGACTCATCACACAAAGACCCGTAGACTCATAGACTCATCACACAGAGACCAATAGACTCATCACACAGAGACCCATAGACTCGCACATAGAGACCCATAGACTCATCACACAGACTCATAGACTCATCACACAGAGACCCATAGACTCATCACACAAAGACCCATAGACTCATCACACAGACTCATATACTCATCACACAGAGACCCGTAGACTCATCACACAGAGACCCATAGACTCGCACATAGAGACCCATAGACTCATCACACAGAGACCCGTAGACTCATTACACAGAGACCCATAGACTCATCACGCAGACACCCGTAGACTCATCACACAGAGACCCATAGACTCATCACACAGAGACCCATAGACTCATCACACAGAGACCCATAGACTCATCACACAGAGACCCGTAGACTCATCACACAGAGACCCATAGACTCATCACACACAGAGACCCATAGACTCATCACACAGAGACTCATAGACTCATCACACACAGAGACCCGTAGACTCATCACACAGACCCACAGACTCATCACACAGACCCATAGACTCATCACACAGAGACCCATAGACTCATCACACAGAGACCCATAGACTCATCACACAGACCCACAGACTCATCACACAGAGACCCATAGACTCACCACACAGAGACCCACAGACTCATCACACAGAGACCCACAGACTCATCACACATAGAGACCCATAGACTCATCACACAGAGACCCACAGACTCACACAGAGACCCATAGACTCATCACACAGAGACCCACAGACTCACCACACAGAGACCCATAGACTCATCACACAGAGACCCATAGACTCATCACACACAGACCCATAGACTCATCACACAGAGACCCGTAGACTCATCACAGAGACCCACAGACTCATCATGCAGACACCGGTAGACTCATCACGCAGACACCCATAGACTCATCACACAGAGACCCATAGACTGATCACACAGAGACCCATAGACTCATCACACAGACGCACAGACTCATCACACAGAGACCCATAGACTCATCACACAGAGACCCGTAGACTCACCACACAGACGCACAGGGTGGGTGGGGTGGTTGGGGTGAGCGGGGGTACCTGTGGATGTAGTTCTCTCGGTTGGTGGGCAGGTCGTAGTTGATGACCAAGGAGACTTGCTGCACGTCAATACCACGGGCCTGGGTCACACGCACACACAAAGACAAAGATCCCCCATGTAGCCTTAGTTAACATCGCCGCCAAATACAGCAGGCATCGTTAGGGGTCGGGATCGGACCCACAACCCCCTGCGTACCAGGCGAGGTAGTTAATATCCTGCCAAATACAGCAGGCATCGTCAGGGGTCGGGATCGGACCCACAACCCCCTGCGTACCAGGCGAGGTAGTTAATATCCTGCCAAATACGGCAGGCATCGTCAGGGGTCGGGATCGAACCCACGACCCCCTGCGTACCGGGCGAGGTAGTCAACATCTCGCGAGTAGGCTCCCCGTTACTCACCAGCAGGTCCGTGGTGATGAGCACGCGACTGGAGCCCGAGCGAAACTCGCGCATGATCAGGTCCCGCTCCTTCTGATCCATGTCACCGTGCTGCAGACGGACACACACACGCAGGCGCACACACGTATTCGTGTGTGTCGAACATCTTTCACACCGTACGTAGCCAACCGTGCTGTGTGTCGAACTTCCTTCACACCGTACGTAGCCAACCGTGCTGTGTGTCGAACTTCCTTCACACCGTACGTAGCCAACCGTGCTGTGTGTTGAACTTCTTTCACACCGTACGTAGCCAACCGTGTGTGTGTGTTGAACTTCTTTCACACCATACATAGCCAAACGTGCTGTGTGTTGAACTTCTATCACACCTTGTGTAGCCAACCGTGCTGTGTGTGTTGAACTTCTTTCACACCATATTCTTAGTTTTTTCGGTAAAGTCACGTTGAAGAGAAACAACAAAATAATATAATATATATAAAACAATAAAAAAAACAACGTGACTTCACCGAAAAAACTAAGAATATGAATTACTGCAGTCACGAAAGCTTTAAATCAAAATTCTTTCACACCGTACGTAGCCAACCGTGCTGTGTGTGTGTGTTGAACTTCTTTCACACCGTACGTAGCCAGTGACGGCGGCGCGTGAACGCTCTAGCCGTCACTCGGCCCGTGTTTAACCGGCGGAGTCGGGTGGATGGGAGGCGACTGGGTGGCGGCTTTGGGAGAGCCGGTGAGGTGTGGTGGTGGTGGTGGTGGTGTTGTTGTTGAGTGTTGGTGGAAGACGGTGAATGGGCGAATCGCCGGTTCCGGTGGGTTCACGGAGCTGGCGAGACATGCCGAGGCAATCTCGGGTCATCGGGGGTCATGAATATCGCACCTCCGATTGGCACGGTTTGGGGCTGGTGAATCAGCGAGTCTGGGCGAGCTGCCGAGCGTGCTGGCGAGTAGGCGAATCGGCGAGCCGGTGAGTCATTGAGTAGGTGAATCAGCGAGTTGGTGAGTGTGCCGGTGAGTAGGTGAATTGGCGTGCCGGTGAGCGAGCCGGCGAGTAGGTGAATCGGCGTGCCGGTGAGCGAGCCGGTGAGTAGGTGAATCAGCGAGTTGGTGAGCGAGCCGGTGAGTAGATGAATCAGCGAGCCGGTGAGTAGGTGAATCGGCGTGCCGGCGAGCAAGCTGGTGAGTAGGTGAATCTGCGAGTTGGTGAGCGAGCCGGTGAGTAGATGAATCAGCGAGTTGGTGAGCGAGCCGGTGAGTAGGTGAATCAGCGAGTTGGTGAGCGAGCCGGTGAGTAGGTGAATCTGCGAGTTGGTGAGCAAGCCGGTGAGTAGGTGAATCAGCGAGTTGGTGAGCGTGCCGGTGAGTAGGTGAATTGGCGTGCCGGTGAGCGAGCCGGCGAGTAGGTGAATCGGCGTGCCGGTGAGCGAGCCGGTGAGTAGGTGAATCAGCGAGTTGGTGAGCGAGCCGGTGAGTAGATGAATCAGCGAGTTGGTGAGCGAGCCGGTGAGTAGATGAATCAGCGAACCGGTGAGTAGGTGAATCGGCGTGGCGGCGAGCAAGCCGGTGAGTAGGTGAATCAGCGAGTTGGTGAGCGAGCCGGTGAGTAGATGAATCAGCGAGCCGGTGAGTAGGTGAATCGGCGTGCTGGCGAGCAAGCCGGTGAGTAGGTGAATCTGCGAGTTGGTGAGCGAGCCGGTGAGTAGATGAATCGGCGAGTTGGTGAGCGAGCCGGTGAGTAGATGAATCAGCGAGTTGGTGAGCGAGCCAGTGAGTAGGTGAATCTGCGAGTTGGTGAGCAAGCCGGTGAGTAGGTGAATCAGCGAGTTGGTGAGCGAGCCGGTGAGTAGATGAATCAGCGAGTTGGTGAGCGAGCCGGTGAGTAGATGAATCGGCGTGCCGGTGAGTAGGTGAATCAGCGAGTTGGTGAGCGTGCCGGCGAGTAGGTGAATTGGCGTGCCGGTGAGCGAGCCGGTGAGTAGGTGAATCGGCGTGCCGGTGAGCGAGCCGGTGAGTAGGTGAATCGGCGTGCCGGTGAGCGAGCCGGTGAGTAGGTGAATCAGTGAGTTGGTGAGCGAGCCAGTGAGTAGATGAATCGGCGTGCCGGGTGAGTAGGTGAATCAGCGAGTTGGTGAGCGAGCCGGTGAGTAGGTGAATCTGCGAGTTGGTGAGTGAGCCGGTGAGTAGGTGAATCTGCGAGTTGGTGAGCAAGCCGGTGAGTAGGTGAATCAGTGAGTTGGTGAGCGAGCCGGTGAGTAGACGAATCGGCGTGCCGGTGAGTAGGTGAATCTGCGAGTTGGTGAGCGAGCCGGTGAGTAGGTGAATCAGTGAGTTGGTGAGCGAGCCGGTGAGTAGACGAATCGGCGTGCCGGTGAGTAGGTGAATCAGCGAGTTGGTGAGCGAGTCGGTTAGTAGATGAATCGGCGTGCCGGTGAGCGAGCCGACGAGTAGGTGAATCTGCGAGTTGGTGAGCGAGCCGGTGAGTAGGTGAATCGGCGTGCCGGTGAGCGAGCCGGTGAGTAGGTGAATCGGCGTGCCGGTGAGCGAGCCGGTGAGTAGGTGAATCAGTGAGTTGGTGAGCGAGCCAGTGAGTAGATGAATCGGCGTGCCGGTGAGTAGGTGAATCAGCGAGTTGGTGAGCGAGCCGGTGAGTAGGTGAATCTGCGAGTTGGTGAGTGAGCCGGTGAGTAGGTGAATCTGCGAGTTGGTGAGCAAGCCGGTGAGTAGGTGAATCAGTGAGTTGGTGAGCGAGCCGGTGAGTAGACGAATCGGCGTGCCGGTGAGTAGGTGAATCTGCGAGTTGGTGAGCGAGCCGGTGAGTAGGTGAATCAGTGAGTTGGTGAGCGAGCCGGTGAGTAGACGAATCGGCGTGCCGGTGAGTAGGTGAATCAGCGAGTTGGTGAGCGAGTCGGTTAGTAGATGAATCGGCGTGCCGGTGAGCGAGCCGACGAGTAGGTGAATCTGCGAGTTGGTGAGCGAGCCGGTGAGTAGGTGAACCGGCGTGCCGGCTCGCTCGCCGGCGATCCGCGTGCGTACCATGGCGGACACGGTGAAGTCACGCGCGTGCATCTTCTCCGTGAGCCAGTCCACCTTCCGCCGGGTGTTCAAGAAGATCACCGCCTGGGTGATGGTGAGCGTCTCGTAGAGATCGCACAGTGTGTCCAGCTTCCACTCCTGAAACGCGAGAGCAAAACACGCGTGCCAAAGGCTGTCGCACGCACGCACGCAAGCAAGCAGCTCCCCCCGGGGGTAGCAGTGGCACAAGTGGGTCGGCGTGCCCACGGTCGGTCGCGCCTAGAGGGCCCCCCCGATTCGGACGCGACCCCTCGCACAAGCTTTAGGTTTAATGGAATCGGTGTTTGAACATCTTAAAACGCAAACGTCCCTGTTCCACCGCCAGGGAAGGGCAAACAAAAAAAAAGATTCCTTAATTTTTATTTTTTGTTTTTCAAACTTTGATACCGTGAAACTAAACGGTGCCATGTGTTTGTAGCCGCTCACCCCGAGCTGTAAACGCTCCGATGGTGAACTGCCCCCCCTTGGCTGGCGCTGTTCGCCTTCTGGCTATGGACCACCGCGGCTCTCCCCCTCCTCTGCCCCCCCCCCCCCCCCCCCGCCCGCCCCCCCAATCCCCGTTACGCTCTCAGGGTCTCCGACATTCAACGCCGTCGGGGAAGCGGCGCTCCCTCCGCCTTCGCAAAAATGCAGCGGCAGCAAAGCTCCTCGGTCGGTTGGTGGTACCCACCACACGCTCGTCTCTGTTTCTTTCGGTAAAGTTACGTAGATAGATAGAATTAAAAAAATAATAATAATAACAATACACCGTCTACGTGGACTTTACAGCGAAAGAAACCAGAGAGAGCATGGATTCCTCCAGTCACGAAAGCTTCGAATCAAGCAGCTGTACACAATCGAGCACTCCGACTCTTAACCGCGGCAATTGGCTCCACGTAACGGGCCGTTGAGCGATTTTTGTTTTTTTCCCGTTGAGCGAGCGGTGAAAGGCTTCACCTCGTTCCGATAGCAAGGAAAGTTCCCCCCCCGCCCCCCCCACCCCCGAAAAAATATAACGTCCCTTATAATAGTCAAACAATTGATATTGATACGTAAAGATGCCAACTACATTATAAACACACGTAACGTGACGAGAAACTTGGTTCATCGATGTATTCATTAATATTTACTGTACCTACAACAGCCCATCGTTAACAGGGGAATGGTCGGAAAGCGAATACATTGGACTCTGGAGGCACTACACTATACACTACACTACTACACCACTACACACTATTACACACTATACACTACTATACACTACTACACTATACATTATACCACTTACACTACACCACTTACACTACACCACTTACACTACTATACACTACGATACACTACACCACTACACACTACTACACACTACTACACACTACTATACACTACCACTACTATACACTACACTACTACCACTACTACACACTACTATACACTACACTACTACACACTACACCACTATACACTACACCACCACACACTATACACCACTACACTACTATACACTACACTACTACACACTACTACACTACTATACACTACTACACACTACCACTACTACCACTACTACACACTACTATACACTACTACACACTACACCACTACACACTATACACCACTACACTACACTACTACACACTACACTACTACACACTACTATACACTACACTACTACACCACTATACACTACACCACTATACACCACACACCACTACACTATACATTGGGCTCTATGGAGTACCGTCGTCAAATGGACGAGTCGTTAACAAGGTGTTTGTGCGTGGTTCTGGCGGCGTGCGTGGTAGCTCTAGTCGAGGTGGTTGTGGCGGTTGTTCTGGTCATGGCGGTGGAGGTGGGTCCCCTCACCTCGCGCTCCACCATGATGTAGAACTGCTTGATGCCCTCCAGGGTGAGCTCCTCCTTCTTGACGAGGATGCGCACCGGCTCGCGCATGAACTTCTTGGTCACCTCCAGCACCTCGGCCGGCATGGTGGCCGACAGCAGCACCACCTGGGGGGGGAGAGGGGAGAGGGGAGCAGGAGCAAGCCCAGAACGGTGAAGCAGGCCATCGGGCGCGTCGATTGGGGGGAGCTGTGGCGCAGGTGTGTATGTCCGTACGCATGTGGAGGTGTTTCAGCTTCTTTCACAACGTACGTAGCCAACCGTGCACAAACCTCCTGCACCCCCCACACACGCACGCGAGCGCAAACCCCCACGCACACACACACGCAAACCCCCCACGCACACACACACAAACCCCCCACACACACACACGCAAACCCCCCACACACACACACGCAAACCCCCCACGCACACACACACACAAACCCCCCACGCACACACACACACAAACCCCCCACGCACACACACACACAACCCCCCCCACGCACACACACACAAACCCCCCACACACACACACGCAAACCCCCCACACACACACACACACAAACCCCCCACCAACACACACACACCCCCCCCCACGCACACACACCCCCCCCCCCACGCACACACACACCCCACACTAACACCCCCCCACACACACAAACCCCCCACGCACACACACACACAAACCCCCCACGCACACACACACACAAACCCCCCACGCACACACACACAAACCCCCCACACACACACACGCAAACCCCCCACACACACACACACACAAACCCCCCACACACACACACACACCCCCCCCCACCGCACACACACCCCCCCCCCACGCACACACACACACCCCACACTAACACCCCCCCACACACACAAACACCCCAACACACACACTAACACCCCCCCTCACACACACACTAACACCCCCCCTCACACACACACTAACACCCCCCCTCACACACACTAACACCCCCAACACACACACACACCAACACCTCCCCCAACACACACACAAACACCCCCCCCAACACACACACAAACACCCCCCCTCCCAACACACACACAAACACCCCCCCTCCCAACACACACACAAACACACCCCCTCCCAACACACACACAAATATCCCCCCCCCCCACCCACACACAAACACCCCCCCTCCCAACACACACACAAACACCCCCCAACACACGAACACCCACACACCCCTCCCAACACACACACAAACACCCCCCCCTCCCAACACACACACACAAACACCCCCCCAACACACGAACACCCACACACCCCTCCCAACACACACACACACACACAAACAACACCCCCCCCCCCCACCCCTCCCAACACACACACACACGCGCACCTGGATGTTGGAGTTGAGCTTCTGGAAGATCTCGTAGATCTGGTCCTTGAAGCCGCGGCTCAACATCTCGTCGGCCTCGTCCAGCACGAACATGCGGATGGCGCGCGGCGAGAGGTAGCGGCGGTTCAGCATGTCGAAGACGCGGCCCGGCGTGCCCACCACGATGTGCGGCGCCTCCGCCTGCAGCTTCTGCATCTCGTTGCGCACGTTGGTGCCCCCGATGCAGGCGTGGCAGGCGGCGCCCATGTAGTCGCCCAGCGCCAGCACCACCTTCTGGATCTGTCGCGGGCGGAGGACGACACGGCGAGGGGCGGGGAGGTGAGGGGGGTGAGGGGGGTGAGGGGGGTGAGGGGGGTGAGGGGGGTGAGGGGGGTGAGGGGGGGACGAGACGGCGAGCGAGTTCGCGGCCGGGCGAGCGAGCGAGCGAGTTTGTGGGTAAACGGCCGAGCGACTAGCGAACGAGCTCACGACCGAGCGAGCTCACGACCGAGCGAGCTCACGACCGAGCGAGCTCACGACCGAGCGAGCTCACGACCGAGCGAGCTGATCACTGAGCGAGCGAGCTCACGACCAAGCGAGCGAGCTTATCACTGAGCGAGCGAGCTCACGACCGAGCGAGCTCACGACCAAGCGAGCTGATCACTGAGCGAGCGAGCTCACGACCAAGCGAGCGAGCTTATCACTGAGGCGAGCGAGCTCACGACCGAGCGAGCTCACGACCGAGCGAGCTGATCACTGAGCGAGCGAGCTCACGACCAAGCGGAGCGAGCTTATCACTGAGCGAGCGAGCTCACGACCGAGCGAGCTCACGACCAAGCGAGCTGATCACTGAGCGAGCGAGCTCACGACCAAGCGAGCGAGCTTATCACTGAGCGAGCGAGCTCACGACCGAGCGAGCGAGCTTATCACTGAGCGAGCGAGCTCACGACTGAGCGAGCGAGCTCACGACCCGAGCGAGCTCACGACTCCGAGCGAGCGAGCTTATCACTGAGCGAGCGAGCTCACGACCGAGCGAGCGAGCTTATCACTGAGCGAGCGAGCTCACGACTGAGCGAGCGAGCTTATCACTGAGCGAGCGAGCTCACGACCGAGCGAGCGAGCTTATCACTGAGCGAGCGAGCTCACGACTGAGCGAGCGAGCTTATCACTGAGCGAGCGAGCTCACGACTCCGAGCGAGCTCACGACCGAGCGAGCGAGCTTATCACTGAGCGAGCGAGCTCACGACTGAGCGAGCGAGCTCACGACCGAGCGAGCGAGCTTATCACTGAGCGAGCGAGCTCACGACCTGACCGATGCGAGCGAGCTCACGACCGAGCGAGCGAGCTTATCACTGAGCGAGCGAGCTTATCACTGAGCGAGCGAGCTCACGAGCGAGCTCACGACCGAGCGAGCGAGCTCACGACCGAGCGAGCGAGCTTATCACTGAGCGAGCTTATCACTGAGCGAGCGAGCTTATCACTGAGCGAGCGAGCTTATCACTGAGCGAGCGAGCTCACGACTGACCGAGCGAGCTCACGACTGACCGAGCGAGCGAGCTCACGACCGAGCGAGCGAGCTCACGACCGAGCGAGCTCACGACCGAGCGAGCGAGCTCACGACCGAGCGGTGCTGGCCGTGTACCTGCTGCGCCAGCTCGCGGGTGGGTGCCAGCACGAGGGCCTGCGTCTCCTTGGTGCTCACGTCCAGCTGCTGCAGGATGGAGATCGCGAAGGTGGCGGTCTTCCCTGTGCCAGACTGAGCCTGGGCAATCACGTCATAGCCTGCGGGCACGGCAGGGACACGGAGCGTACACGCGTGCGCGAGGTTAGCACGGTTGGCCGGGTATGGTGCGAAAGAAGTTCTACATACGTACACTATACACTACACGTCACACTATACTATAAACTACACACTACGCTACACACCACAATCCACATTATACTATACACCACAATCCACATTATACTATACACCACAATCCACATTATACTATACACCACATACTACACTACACACTACGCTACACACCACAATCCACATTATACTATACACCACAATCCACATTATACTATACACCACAATCCACATTATACTATACACCACATACTACACTACACACTACGCTACACACCACAATCCACATTATACTATACACCACATACTACACTACACACTACGCTACACACCACAATCCACATAATACTATACACCACAATCCACATTATACTAGACACCACATACTACACTACACACTACGCTACACACCACAATCCACATTATACTATACACCACAATCCACATTATACTATACACCACATACTACACTACGCTACACACCACAATCCACATAATACTATACACCACAATCAACATTATACTATACACCACATACTACACTACACACTACGCTACACACTACAATCCACATTATACTATACACCACAATCCACATTATACTATACACCACATACTACACTACACACTACACTACACACTACAATCCACATTATACTATACACCACAATCCACATTATACTATACACCACATACTACACTACACACTACACTACACACTACAATCCACATTATACTATACACCACAATCCACATTATACTATACACCACATACTACACTACACATTATTATACACTACGCTTCACACTCCACACTACGCTACATTACACTACACACTACATAGTAGACTGTACACTATGCTACACACTCCACTGTAAACTACACCACTATACTACTATACACGACACCACTATACTACTATACACGACACCACTATACTAAATTGAAAACTCATTTCCTGAGAGCTCCTCTGTGTTTAGTTTGTTGTCCTTCCCCTGCACCTCCGATTAGCGCGGTTGGCTACGTACGGTGCGAAAGAAGCTCAGCATAAATACATTACACGCATGCCAAGATCCGTGTAGCCCGCGCTGACCGTTGGGGAAAGCGATATTAAGCGAGCGCCTATGAAGGCCGGCACGATGCACAAGGGCGTTGTGGTTGGCCAGCACCACGCCTGACCGCCTTTGTCTCCCCAGTGGCGATGCTTACTGCACACCGCTACCAGGTACTCATCTGAGAGCGAGCCGACCTAGCCGAGGAGGGCCCGGGACCGGTTCAGATAAATCGTCACCCCGTGTTGACCGCAGAGCGGGAATTGAACTGGGCTCGCCGGGTTCGGAGCGCAGCGGCGCTAACCGTTCCCGGCAACAACAATACCCGCCATTCCCCGATAAGCGGCGGCGGCGACGTCAACTTGCGGCTGTGCAAGGCCATGTGCACTTTTGGCCCGCCACGTGAAGTGTCGAACGAACCGCCGGGACAGACCCAGGAGGTCACGGGACAGACCCAGGCCGGGTGCCACGGGTTGACCGACTGCGATGACTGGGCATATGCATCCCCGACCTGTGCCCCCCTACTCTGCCACACACGCACGCTCACCCTTTATGCAGGGCAGGATGGCGCGCTGCTGGATGGCAGACGGTTTCTCAAAGCCGTAGGCGTAGATTCCACGCAGCAGAGTCTCCTTGAGGCTCATGTCATCAAAGTTGTCCACGATCTCATTCCAGTTGCTCTGTACACGCGCACATGTGGGGGAAACACGGGCATTCCATTGAACGAGCGTTTAGCTTTGCGTAAGCGAGTTTGTGGCTCTTTATGCGAGCCTATGGGTGACTCTGTGAGCCTATGGGTGACTCTGTGAGCCTATGGGCGACTCTGTGAGCCTATGGGTCTGTGTGCGAGCCTACTATGAGTCTCTGTGTGAGCCTACTATGGGTGTCTCTGTGCGAGCCTACTATGGGTCTCTGTGCGAGCCTACTATGTGTCTCTGTGCGAGCCTACTATGGGTCTCTGTGTGAGCCTACTATGGGTGTCTCTGTGTGAGCCTACTATGGGGTCTCTGTGTGAGCCTACTATGGGTCTCTGTGTGAGCCTACTATGGGTCTCTGTGTGAGCCTACTACGTGTCTGTGTGTGTGTGAACTATGAGTCTCTGTGTGAACCTACTATGGGTCTCTGTGTGAGCTTACTATGGGTCTCTGTGTGAACTTACTATGAGTCTCTGTGTGAGCCTACTATGGGTCTCTGTGTGAACTTACTATGGGTCTCTGTGTGAACTTATTATGGGTCTCTGTGCGAGCCTACTATGGGTCTCTGTGCGAGCCTACTATGGGTCTCTGTGTGAGCCTACTATGGGTCTCTGTGTGAGCCTACTATGGGTCTCTGTGTGAGCCTACTATGGGTCTCTGTGTGAGCCTACTATGGGTCTCTGTGAACTTACTATGAGTCTCTGTGTGAGCCTACTATGGGTCTCTGTGCGAGCCTACTATGGGTGTCTCTGTGCGAGCCTACTATGGGTGTCTCTGTGTGAGGCTATTATGGGTCTCTGTGTGAGCCTACTATGGGCCTCTGTGTGAGCTTACTGTGTCTCTGTGTGAGCCTACTATGTGTCTCTGTGTGAGCCTATGGGTCTCTGTGTGAGCCTACTATGGGTCTCTGTGTGAGCCTACTATGGGTATCTGTGTGAGCCTACTATGGGTATCTGTGTGAGCCTACTATGGGTGTCTCTGTGTGAGCCTACTATGGGTATCTGTGTGAGCCTACTATGGGTGTCTCTGTGTAAGCCTACCATGGGTCTCTGTGTGAGCCTACTATGGGTATCTGTGTGAGCCTACTATGGGTCTCTGTGTGAGCCTACTATGGGTTTCTGTGTGAGCCTACTATGGGTGTCTCTGTGTGAGCCTACTATGGGTATCTGTGTGAGCCTACTATGGGTCTCTGTGTGAGCCTACTATGGGTTTCTGTGTGAGCCTACTATGGGTCTCTGTGTGAGCCTACTATGGGTGTCTCTGTGTGAGCCTATGGGTATCTGTGTGAGCCTACTATGGGTCTCTGTGTGAACTTACTATGGGGGTCTCTGTGTGAGCCTACTATGGGTCTCTGTGTGAGCTTACTATGGGTCTGTGTGAGCTTACTATGTGTCTCTGTGTGAGCCTACTATGGGTCTCTGTGTGAGCCTACTATGGGTCTCTGTGTGAGCCTACTATGGGTCTCTGTGTGAGCCTACTATGGGTCTCTGTGTGAGCCTACTATGGGTGTCTCTGTGTGAGCCTACTATGGGTCTCTGTGTGAGGCTACTATGGGTCTCTGTGTGAGCCTACTATGGGTCTCTGTGTGAGCCTACTATGGGTATCTGTGTGAGCCTACTATGGGTCTCTGTGTGAACTTACTATGGGGGTCTCTGTGTGAGCCTACTATGGGTCTCTGTGTGAACCTACTATGGGTCTCTGTGAACTTACTATGAGTCTCTGTGTGAGCCTACTATGGGTGTCTCTGTGTGAGCCTACTATGGGTGTCTCTGTGTGAGCCTACTATGGGTGTCTGTCTCTGTGTGAGCCTACTATGGGTGTCTCTGTGTGAGCCTACTATGGGTGTCTCTGTGTGAGCCTATGGGTGTCTCTGTGAGCCTATGGGTGTCTCTGCGAGCCAACCGAGCTGTGTGTGTGAACTTCTTTCGCCACCGTACGCAGCCAACCGTGATAATCGGATGTGCGACGGCAGGCGGGCGGGGGGACAAACTAAACGCAAAAAGCGGTTCTAAAGCAACGAGTTTTGAGAATCGAGATTTAACCGACTTGAGATCCCGCAACGGTTCGTGTTTCTGGGCTACCTGAGCTGACGGGGGGGGGTAGGTGAACGGGCGCCGCTTTTAGCGCAGACGCTGAGCCAGCTGTACTGGGGGACGATCGCCGGCTACGGCTGTGGCATCTCCACCGCCACCATCACTGCCATCTCATCCGCTATCAATCACCATCGCCGCTGTCTTGACTATCGCCAGACCGTCACCCATCTCACCGCTATCGTCATCATCACCGCCATGGCCACCATCACCACCGTCCCCACTATCATCACCATCGCCGCTGTCGTGACTATCGCCACACCACCGTCACCCATCTCACCGCTATCATCACCACCATCACCGTCCCCACTATCATCACCATCTCCGTCTCACGACTACGATCACCGCTACTGTCACCATCACCACCAACCACCACCGCTGTCGTCACCATCTCCATCAGCGCGCTACCGTAACCAACACCGCTATCGCCATCTCAATCTCATGACTATCATCACCAACACTGCCATCGCCACGATCAACATCACTGCTATCATCACCGTCTCATGCTATCAACACCATCACCGCTATCAACGCTATCTCCGCCGCATGACTACCCTCACCGCTGTCGTCACCATCACCGCTACCGTAACAATCACCACCATCAGTCAACGCTATCGTCACCATCATCGCTAGCCACACCATCTCCATCTCACGGTTATCATCACGATCACCGCCATCGTCACCATCTCCATCACCGCTACCGTAACAATCACCACCATCATTGTCAACGCTATCGTCACCATCATCGCTAGCCACACCATCTCCATCTCACGGTTATCATCACGATCACCGCCATCGTCACCACCTCCATCACCGCTACCGTAACAATCACCACCATCACTGTCAACGCTATCGTCACCATCATCGCTAGCCACACCATCGCCATCTCACGGTTATCATCACGATCACCGCTATCGTCACCATCTCCATCACCGCTATCGTAACAATCACCACCATCATTGTCAACGCTATCGTCACCATCATCGCTAGCCACACCATCTCCATCTCATGGTTATCATCACGATTACCGCTATCGTCACCACCTCCATCACCGCTACCGTAACAATCACCACCATCATTGTCAACGCTATCGTCACCATCATCGTTAGCCACACCATCTCCATCTCACGGTTATCATCACGATCACCGCTATCGTCACCATCTCCATCACCGCTACCGTAACAATCACCACCGCTATCGTAACTATCACTACCATCACCATCTCACTGATATCGCCACTATCACCATCAACGCTCTCTACGTCGTCTTCACCTCACGATTATCATCACGATCACCGCTATCGTCACCATCACCGCTATCAACACAAACTCGATCTCACGACTATCACCACGATCACCGCTATCGTCACCATCACCGCTATCTTCACAATCACCACCATCACTATCTCACCCGCTATCTTCACTATCACCATTATTTGCCATTAACATCACCGCGATCATCACCATCACCGCTATACTATCACTGCCATCACCATCTCACCGCTATCGTCGCCATCTCCATCAATGATATAGTCACTATCACCACCACCATCACCGCTATCGTGACCATCACTACCATCATCTCACCGATATCGTCACTTTTTTATCTTCTTTGGTTCTTTCGGTAAAGTCACATAGAATGAGAATAAAATAATAAATTGATAAAATAAAATAACACAATAATATTCTCACGACGTTTCGGCCACAACACAAGCGGCCTTCATCAGGTGAAGGGGACGAGACTGTCTGGTAGGACAGCGTCACTATCGCCATCACCGCTATCGGTGATGGTAAACATCAGCACTGAGGAGACAGCGTGCGTGTGCAGAACGCGTGCGTGCGTGCGACAAGAAGAGTTAAAAAGCCACACGCGGCACCTCACCTCAATGATGCCATCGGGTTCCATACCCTCCGGGCCATTGTCACGGGATCTGCGTGTGGGGGGGGGGGTAGAGGGTCAAAACGGAAGGCGGGAGAACAGAACGTCAAACTTCGAACGGGGAAAACGCAACCACCAACGCGCGCGGATTCCGGCGGCCTCCCCCCCTCTCGTACAAAGACGCTCGTTGTTCCGATGGCGCACGACGTGCCAATGCTGCGCGCTTCCGCGGCGTCCGGACGGGAATCGGAAGAAAGGCTAAAAATAAAATAACTTTAAACCGGTACCGCGAGGCTCTCCCCACAAGGCCCATGCAGGGAGGGGAGGGGGGGGGGGGAGCACGCGTGTGTGGCGCAGTTTTGGTGCCGGCGATGGTAGAGTGTGGCGGCGATCGCGTCGCTGCGGTGCTTTTGCGGTGAGTAACGACGTCTTTGTAAAAAAACCAACGGCGCTGCTACCGCTACTACGCCTCCTCTCTAAAAAAAAAAGTAATCTTCTGCAGATGTAGATGCCACTGGTTCTTGACGTTCTGCAGATGTAGATGCCACTGGTTCTTGACGTTCTGCAGATGTAGATGCCACTGGTTCTTGACGTTCTGCAGATGTAGATGCCACTGGTTCTTGACGTTCTGCAGATGTAGATGCCACTGGTTCTTGACGTTCTGCAGATGTAGATGCCACTGGTTCTTCACGTTCTGCAGATGTAGATGCCACTGGTTTTTCATGTTCTGCAGATGTAGATGCCACTGGTTCTTCACGTTCTGTAGATGCCACTGGTTCTTAACGTTCTGCAGATGTAGATGCCACTGGTTCTTGACGTTCTGCAGATGTAGATGTCGCTGGTCCTTCACGTTCTGCAGATGTAGATGCCACTGGTTCTTCACGTTCTGCAGATGTAGATGCCACTGGTCCTTCACGTTCTGCAGATGTAGATGCCACTGGTTCTTCACGTTCTGCAGATGTAGATGCCACTGGTTCTTCACGTTCTGCAGATGTAGATGCCACTGGTTCTTCACGTTCTGCAGATGTAGATGCCACTGGTTCTTCACGTTCTGCAGATGTAGATGCCACTGGTTCTTCACGTTCTGCAGATGTAGATGCCACTGGTTCTTCACGTTCTGCAGATGTAGATGCCACTGGTTCTTCACGTTCTGCAGATGTAGATGCCACTGGTTCTTCACGTTCTGCAGATGTAGATGCCACTGGTTCTTCACGTTCTGCAGATGTAGATGCCACTGGTTCTTCACGTTCTGCAGATGTAGCAATGGAGATCGCACGCACAGCAAATGAGCTCGCTTGATTTCTGGTAACCTTCAACAATTTAACGTTTAACAAAATTTTGTATATTCAATAATACTGTTCGATCGTACATTAAACTAAAACTATGTTTACTTCACCAGGTACTGCCCTCACAGAGCTACGTTGCTCTCGTTCTGAGAGGCGACCCTGGGGCTATCACAAACGATAGCTCGACCAAGTGGGTTGAGAGCCATCATCATCGTCATCATCAAGACGTGGGGAAAAGCATAGCAGCCAAATTACAGTAAAACCTTGGATTGCGAGCATTATTCGTTCCGGAAACGTGCTTGTGATCCAAAGCACTCGTATATCATCAAAGCACTCGTATATCATCAAAGCACTCGTATATCATCAAAGCACTCGTATATATCATCAAAGCACTCGTATATATCATCAAAGCACTCGTATATATCATCAAAGCACTCGTATATATCATCAAAGCACTCGTATATATCATCAAAGCACTCGTATATATCATCAAAGCACTCGTATATATCATCAAAGCACTCGTATATATCATCAAAGCACTCGTATATATCATCAAAGCACTCGTATATCATCAAAGCACTCGTATATCATCAAAGCACTCGTATATCATCAAAGCACTCGTATATCATCAAAGCACTCGTATATCATCAAAGCACTCGTATATCATCAAAGCACTCGTATATCATCAAAGCACTCGTATATCATCAAAGCACTCGTATATCATCAAAGCACTCGTATATCATCAAAGCACTCGTATATCATCAAAGCACTCGTATATCATCAAAGCACTCGTATATCATCAAAGCACTCGTGTATCAAAGCACTCGTGTATCAAAGCACTCGTGTATCAAAGCACTCGTGTATCAAAGCACTCGTGTATCAAAGCACTCGTATATCAAAGCACTCGTAGTGTATCAGTTGTGATCACGTGACGCTCGGTGAGACAAAGCGTGTTACGTACGCTGCTCGTATTTGCAAGACCCTCGCTCGTTTATCAAATTAACATTTAGTTACAAATTTTGCCCGTCCTGCAGTTACTCGCAATCCACAAGGTTTCGCTGCACTCTAAAACGCGTGACGTCGATTCTAAACGTGCAGGGGAAAAACCAAGAGGAGGACCCGGAAAAATATCCACCGGGCCATGAGGAGAGAGACACGCAAACTCCAAATATAAAAAGCAGTCGCCAGGCGGTCGGAATCGAACTCACGACCTCCTGTACACACCAGTTTGCATGTGTCTCTCCCCGTGGTCGCGTGGATATTCCCCCCCCGGGGTCCTCCGATGTTTCCACCTTCACATTTAGACTCAACGTCACGAGTTTAAGAGTATTCGGGCTGCTATACATTCCCACGTGGTGATGATGATGATGATTAATCCACTTCCGTTGAGCTATCATTTGTGATAGCCAGGTCACTCAGTTTGTGGGCCTTATGCGGCAAAAATAAAAATTCGATTTTGACGACACGGGAATACGCGCTGCTAGCGACCCGCCTATTGAAAAACGGGCGCGGCACACTCGCGCACCACCGCCCACGCCATTTGAGGCCGAGCGGACCTCGAGAGACCCTTGCCAAACCAGTTCCGGACACCCTTTAAACCCACCCCCCACCCCCCCCAAAAAGGAAACAAATCGTGATTAAAATTATGTTTTAAAGCTTTCGTGACTGCAGGGATTCATATTTATATTCTCGGACCGCATTCGTGAACACAAAGCAGACCTAAAGCACGGTAGGACCAACACCTCGGCCGTGGCAGAGCACTGTTATATAATTCAGTAGGTTCACGTGACATCGACTTCTCCAAGACAGAGGTTCTTTTGCAAGCCATCTGGCTACCATGAGAGATTCGTTCATGAGGCTATCCACATATACAAACACAGAGACAATTTCAACCGAGAAGATGGATTCTGGCTTAGCAATCATTGGAAGGATTTGATAAACCATTTCGGGTCTTAATTGATTGTTCACGCTTACGGTGGCGTTCAGACCGCACCCATTATTTTCGTCTCCCCCCTCCTCTTTTCCGAACATAGATGGACTCGTCCATCTGAATAAACTGCCAAATCGCTCTCCGTGGTGCTAAAGTTAAAATAAAAAAACGCCACTTTTTTTCAAATTTTCTTGCTGTGGTTTTCACACCTGATGATGATTGCTCGTGTTGCAGTCGAAACGTCGAGGGAATTTTATTGTTTAATATTTGTATTATTGTATTCCTTCCCTTCTACGTGACTTTACCGAAAGAACCAAGAATATAAATCGTGATTAGGTTAATTATTTGAGGCCGAGTTGACCTAGCGGAGACCCAGGTCAGTTACGGACACCAATTTAGCGAGAAAAAAACGCGGGCTGCGGTTTATTGTAGAACTTCCCTTCGGGCTGTACGTAGCCAACCGTGCTAAAATCAGAGGTGTCGTGGTGGAGGTGGTGATGCTCATTTGAGGTAAACCCCAACTATGTTCACTCAGCTCCCCCCACTCGCCCCCATGTGGCAACAGCTGATGACGATTTTGACGACGATGCCATGAGTCACGTACGGGCAGCAGTAGACCCCCCCCCCCGCCGAATCGTGTGGACGGTGGGGAGGGGGAAGCTTCTGCGCATGACTTGATGGGTTGGGTCCCTTACCCACCCAGCAATTCCCTTCCTCCCTCACTCCCCACTGTTTGCTTTGTTAGCACCAACATCCCCCGACCACATCTGCCCATAACACTGGTGGATAAAAACTATCAAACCGCACCAGTTGTTTGACCACACTTTCAGAATACGTACTTACACAGTAGGAATCTGATTAACTTAATTTTTTTTCCCACAGACGTCCGTGAAACTACTGAACTCTTTCACCAGGTAAGGCCCAGCTGCTCTTCTTCAGAAGCGACCAGGCCATCACAAATGATAGCTGAACGAAGTAGGGGCTTCATCATCACCATCACGTGGAAATTTCTAGCAGCAGCCAAACACTCAATTGCGTAGATGTTGTTTCTAAACGTGGTCGGGGGAATTAAAAAAACCGAAGACCCGAAAACAAAATCCGCTCGGACCACTTGGGAGAGACAGACACACAAACTCCAAATATACAGCAGGCTCCCATTGGTCGGGATCGAACCCACGGCCCTCCTGTATACCAGGCGAGGGCGATGACATCTCCCAGCCACCGTGGCGCCCCCCCCTAATAGTGGGAACGGGGTCAGAAAGTTACTTCAAGTGATGCGAGGCCAGAATCGGTACGGACGTGACAGATGTCTCTCATCACTGAACATTAACCGTGGGGAAAAAGTTCGTAACGCGATGGCGTTAACGGCGCAAAGCCAAAACTATGCACTGTATGCACGTTGAACTTTTCGCACCGTACGTAGCCAATCGCACAACAACAAGCGGTTCTAAAGAAAGCAATTAATTAACGCTCTTTATTCAAACCCAGAAGAGAACCTGATCAGAGTCTCAGAGACCAATTGCCAGGATAGAGGGTGGCAGCTTATGCTGGGGTTTTTGTTTGACCGTTTCCGCTCACGCGCCATTACAAAACTAGTTTATTTTTTTATTTTTAAGGGCCCACTCTTAATAAGGAGCGCGCGTCATACGATGCCGGGAACCGGAATGACTCTGGACTCGCACGGGCAGACAATGCTTACGACGCAGTCCCCCCCCCCCTTCGTCAATCCACTGCTGGATGAATGCCGTGGGGGGGTCTAGCCGCCCCTACAGCTGAGCTCCGCCTGACCTTGCCACACGACGATTCGAGTTCACCAACCCGCTTGCTATGCTGCAA